TCGGCCTTCCAAACAACTGTTTTTATTGCGTTCTCATAGACTCCAGCGCATCAGGTTGTTTAAGGAGATGGATATAGGCTAAATCCTATCGGTCTCATTCCTTCTGCAGTGCACCAATCGATAGTCCGAGCAAGGCTATCTGTAGTGACCAAATCGCGTCGAAATGAAGTCCGCTAGAATCTCACGACTGCGGTTCTCGACGTCTGGGGGCAGCCAATCACAGTTGCCACATATATGCCTTCCGGGCCGGCGACGAATAGCAAGCATGCACGCGTGAACGTTTGCTCTCTGGGCCGCGGGGATTTCCTGCAACTATGCCGAACTTCGGACCACGCCTCTCCAGCGGAAGGTCGTACTCTCCTTCCTTCTATTCTTCGTACCTCTGTGTACAGAATATACTGTTCCTACTATTCTGGCCTCCACCGACTTCTCCACTAAGTAACCATGGCCTGAAGATCGCAGTTGATAGGGTTTAACTTACTTACCCCCTGCGATATTGGTGACTGTCTGACGTGATATGAACACACAATTTCTGATGTGGCCTGCTGCCCCTGCGTAGTTGTTGACTTTCAGACCTGTCCCTGCGTATTTGGCGAATTTCCAACGTGTCCCTGTGTATTTGGTGATCGGCACTCGCGACATACTGCTCATAGCCCATTCAGCCCAGACCATGGTTACTTCCCAATCCAAGAGAGATGCCCCTTCACGAGTAATAACACTCAGATCTTCTCAACAAGTGGTACTACTTCCACCACCAATGGTATCTTTTTGGTTCAACTCATACTGACACGGCGCACTGATTTGCTGTTGACGTTTTACAGAACCAGCGGCTTTCTTCAGCCGCCCCTTCATCCTGGTTCATTTCAGCTACAGCCACCCACGCTGTTTTGCAATCCTACCTTGGTACGTATCTCCCTTACTAAACTTAACTATTCTTCCTCCATTCGATCTCTTTCATCAATCAAATTTCGGTCTCGCGTCGAAGTGAACTTTCCCGAAGGCTCACAGGCGCTAGTCTCAACGCCTGGATCAACCAATCACAGTTGCCGCAAAATCTGTTTTCTGTCCAGGCGACGAATTGCTCTCTCTGCCCACTGGCCTGACTGCTGTCAAGCGGCACTTGGACCTGGCTGGCTCTCCTGGCTGGTCGCGTGCTCCCAAGTCAATCTCTTTCCATCTATTCTCCGTTCCTCTGTTTACACAATATACTATTCCTAATACTCTGGTCTCTAATGACTTCTTCTCTACTAAGTAACCAT